CCTGCCCGTTTGAGCTCAGCATTTCTCCTATACTCTTTAATCATAGCTCTTCGCCTTACATCTTGTCTGATCTCTTATTGACTAATTAATTAAATTTTTGATGATTCAATTATCTTTTATTTTATTTTTTATTTTACACTAGTTTCTTTGCTTACATTCCTACACCTCCATACACCTCAATTTGCACGTCCCTTCCCTTTTCTCTATTCTGCTCTTTAATTTGTTCATCTATCTTCCCTTTTCTTTCATTCTCTTCACTTCGCTTATCATCGCATCTCTTCTTTTTGCCTTTCAGCTTTTATCTTTTGTTTATAAGTAGGCTTTCAAGACTACTCATAAATCACTTGTATGAAATGTATTCACTCCATTTCGTTTAAGGTGATGAAGTACTGGCAGTTGAATCTTCCCACAATCACATGAATAGAGCTGAAGCTTCTATTGAAGTTCACATAGCCTTGCTTTCCCAAAAGGCGTTCTCATCTCAGCTGAAGTGGAATGCAGTTTCGACCTCGCCCACGTCTTATCAACACCCCCAGCGGGAGTCGAACCACGACAGTTCAGCGTGTAAGCTCGACACGTTAACCACTCAGCCACATTGCCACAAGTGCTATTGAGTCAGAGGACAAATGTGCATTTCAAGAAAGGAAAAACATTGTCCCATATTGCATTCTTTGGTGGGATTGTAGATGAAGCATATATTTCTTCTTTTATCCTCATTTGTCCTTTTTTTAAATTGTTAAATTCTTCTTATTTCTTTATATTTCTTTTTTGCCATGCTTTTTACGCAGGTCAGAATTGTTAGTTATATCCATTGTTTTCTAACCGTTCTCATGGAGACTCTCGCTTCGTATGAAGGTGCATGGTGAAAAGGTTCGTTCGTTCCCATTCTCTTCAGGTTTATTTTAAGTATTCATTCCTTTTTACTTGACTTCCATACTCTTTAAACCTTTTCTATTTACTACACTTTGCTGCATATAATTCCACCTCACCTGGCATCTTTTCCTTCCAATTCTCTTCAACTAGCCTCATTTCTGTTTATTTTATTTCCCTTTTTGTGCTTCCCATCTCTTTTCACACTTTAACCCTACCTTTTTTATCGCTTTCGCTATCTCCCATTCTTATCTCTACTGCACTCTTTTTTTCCAGGCATTGCTCTTGACTGAATTGTATTGCTTTTGCATCTCATTCCGTCTTATCCCAAACAATTTTTTCATATAATACCATCCTCACTTTTTTTTACTTCTCATCTGCATCATTTTACTGTTCTGCTTTTCGCCAATTTTAATTTGCTTTCTCATTGAACTCAAACTTTTTATAAGCAAGTCTTCTCGATACCCTTTATTGTAAATTTTTTGCAATCCTACAGATTTATTTCATCAGAATCTAGACTAAAATATCATCTAGTTTTTTCTCTTTGTTTTCGGCCTAGTAAAAATCTAAAAGTATACTGCCTCGTTTTTTGTGAACATTTATTTGCATAATTCGTCTGAAAAAATATACATATTCTTAAAAAATAACTATCAGAAGTTAGTATGTATAGATAGGTAGCTGTATGAGCCGAATAAAGTAATTGAGAAAAGATGAGATAATTTCTTGTATTGGACCCATTCTGCTGGAGCGGTTTTGAATTGGCAGTTGAGGGACACTAAAGCTTGCCGTGAAGGTAGCAGAATATTGAGGACAGGGACAGAAATTAGACTTTGACAAAAATCAGGATTCTATGGGAAAGACAACCGAACACGGTGGAATGTAGGGAGAAGAAGGAAGAGAGCCAAAGTGAATGGGGATAGTTTACAGCCAGAATTTTGTACAAAAATCACGTTTCATTGAAGACACTCTTTTGTTCAAAAGCGATCTGCTTCCATTCACGAGTGTGTGTCCTCCTTTTTCCTAATTGGGCTGATTGCCACTTGTGGGCATGCGTTTGGGTGTGCATTGTGATTGTGCAGATGTGCAGATGTGCGGGTGTATGGTTGGTTGGTTGGATGGACATGGTGTATGAGACAATGTGTGATTTTAGGCCTCTGCCGATTTAGCCGTGTCTGGAAGGCAGAATTGAATGGCCCCCGTCAACTGACCGGACAGGTAGCCGGTAAGAGTGGAGTCTGTGATCTGATTGGATCTGGCTGGACCGGGGTTCGGGCCGAGGGTTGCTAGCGCATGTGAGGCGTAGCCGGTGGTGATGGGCGCGAGAAAGCGTCGTGGAAGGCCTCGAGCTCCAGGCCCCGGCTCCAGGGACGAAGTGGAGGTGGGGATGGAGGAGGGAAGTGAGGAAGCTGAGGAAAGAGGCGATGAAGACAAAGTGGAGGAGGCCGAGGTGGAGGAAGAAGAGGAGGCGGAGGAGGAGGAGGAGGAAGAGGAAGAAGAAGAAGAAGAAGAAGAAGAAGAAGACGACGAAGAAGAGGGGCATGCAGAGAAGGAAGAAGTTGTCGAGGAGGACGAAGAGGAGGGCGATGCTCTGCCCATAAGTCCCATGTTGGGGTTCAAGTTGAACCCGACTAGAAGTCGAGCGCCGAGGTCGAGGCCGACGCCAGCGTCAACGTCAACGTCAACGCCAACGCCAACGCCGATGCCATCGCCTCGGTCGTTGAGGAGGAGTCTCGTGTTGCCGGACAGGCCGTCGGTGTCGACGGTCGTGAAGCCGGTCACTGCGTCGTAGACCAACTGACCGGCGAATCCGGTGTCGACTGATTGGCTGGACCGAAATGGTGCTCCGTTCTGCTCGACTGTCGATTCGCCGATTGGCCCGTCCGCGAGGTAGGCTGAGGCGGAAGCGGAGGGGGAGGTGATGGCGTCGGCGTAGACGTTGGCGGTGGAGAGGAGGCCGGAGAAGGCCGAATGGACGCAGGTCGAGGCGGGCCCGACCGAGTGGAGGTGACGAGGCAGAAGCGCCTCTTGATGCAGTTGTGGTGCGCCCAAAGTGTGAACATGCGAGGTCCGCTGCTGCTGCTGCTGCTGTTGCTGATGAAGATGGTGTTGGTGTTGATGCTGATGCTGATGCTGCTGATGCTGGTGCTGATGCTGATGTTGATGTTGATGTTGATGCTGATGTGGTTGTGGCTGTGGATGTGGATGTGAGTGTGGGTGTGAGTGTGAGTGTGAGTGTGGATGGGGATGTGGATGTGGATGTGGATGTGGATGTGGATGTGATTGTAGATGTGGATGTTGAAGTTGAGGT